AAAAAAAAAAAAAAAAGCATAAGGCAGATAATGATACCACTCCATTCATATCCTCTAGCGTCCTCCCATTTTACACAAAATGAAATTCAGCATCTTTACAATAGCCTACAAGACATCTCATGCTTAGAAACATTTTTCTGGTCAGGCACAGTGGCTCACACCTATAATCCTAGCACTTTGGGAGGCTGAGGCAGGAGGATAGCTTGAGGCTAGAAGTTTGAGACCTGCTTAGGCAACATAGTGAGACTCTGTCTCTACCAAAAAAAAAAAAAATTATCTGGGTGTGTTGGTGCATGCCTGTAGTCCCAGCTATGTGGGAGGCTGAGGCAGGAGGATCACTTGAGCCCAGGAGTTTGAGGTTGCAGTGAGCTATGATTGTGCCATTGAAGTTGAGCCTGGACGGTACGGCAAGACCCTGTCTCAAAAAGAAAAAAAAGAATTTTTTTTCTGTATTGTGTGAAATAATACATATGTATAATAAATAATACATATATTTACATCTGTGTAAACACATCTCTGTGGTTTTAGGTATATATCTAGAGTTTATATTTTATGTGGTATAAAATTGGGATTTCATTCTTTCCAAATGAAGAGCCAATTTCCCAGCACCATTTACTGACTAAGAATACCCCTTCCCCACTGAGGTGATACTTTACCATGAACCTGCTTGTCTGTTCTTATGCAATGTGTCTAATTGTTGAATGTTTGAATAAGGATGTATCAATACCTAGTAGATCAAATAGGTCATATACAATTGTTTGTGGAGATTTCATTGGACTTGGAATAGTCAAATACATGTAAAAACAACTTGCATTATAATTGGGAATTAATTATGGAGAACATTCACTAAATTCCCAAATAAACTGGGAACTAATTCTACCTAGGTGGCTGTGACTTAAGTTTAAAAATTCAATTAGCTGCAAAATTAAGACTTAAAAATTCTGATGGCTCCTAGGCCCCTATTTCTAGTGTTTGTTTATGTATTATATTTTGCTGCTTCTTATCACTGTTCAGAAAATTATCACCGAAATGCCTGTCAGATTTGAAGAGCCCTCACTACTCTGTAGTGAAAACCTTGTTTATACATGTATAGCCAATTTTTACATATGCAAGCATATCTGTGAGCCCAAGGCCCCGGGAATTTCTTTGCTCTTTTATAGAATTTTGGCCTTATTTCTGTTTATGATAACTTCACCTGGGAACCAAGAATGGATGGGCAAGGAGATTAAACTCAAGCCAGTTTGTTTTATTGATTATTAGCAGTCTTAGTGAAGTGTTTGCTGAAAGAGGGAAGCGTGTTGAAATTCTTGCTTAAAAAGAGGTGTGTAGAATTTTCAGTGGTTTTCTTCTGATAAAAGTTGTCTCATAACTGTTGCAGTATGTGTAATTGAGGGTTGACTATAAATCTCAAAATGAATCACTTCCAGCTCCTTCATATCTACAGAGATAAGTAAAGAATGGAAAATATTGTCACTTAAATGAGTACCCCTCACCACCCGTTTTTCTTCTCTACAAATAGTATAAGCTTTAGTCTTCTGGACCCCTGGCTTTGGCAGCTGGGGAGGGTGTTATGGTAACCATGGAGCCATCCTGCCTCTCTGAGATTGATTTTGCTATATGACAGGTGACAAGAATATCACCCCAAATGAAATTTCTTTCTTTAGATTTAGGGCAACAGCAAAACAGGAAAAGAGTTCTATGAGGAAGGGTTATACAGCTGGTGAACTTTTCAAACTGAAACCACATTATATTACGTTAAAGGATTGTACGTATGTCCATCAAGTCCATAATCCCCAGGATCTAGTACGTTTTAATTTGCTGTGTGACTTTCAGAGGCACATCAGGTACATCAGACCTCCTAGGTTAATAGGTTTGCTTGCAGAAGTTCCAACTAATGGTAAAGACTTCTTGCAGTTCTGAAGTACCTCAAGATATGAAGTTGGTAACAAATAAGAGAAATATAGCAAGCTATATATATTTAAAATAAAAAGAAAGATTGAGACCAGCCAATAACCCGCAGTGGGTTTACTTAAATCCTCCTCATTTCTTTAAATCTGTTTTTAACCAAGCCGGTGAGCTAAAGACAGTTTGTCATGCTCTGAACTTCCTGGCTTATGTTGATTTCTATCAATATGTTACTGTTACAAATTTGAGTGGGAGCTGAGTTACATTTCATGAGAATTGCTCAGAAAACTAATAAAATCTTTACAACCCCACTTTCTGTGTGTATTGATAGCATCAAGAAAATTAAAAAAAGACTTTGCCATTTTCAGGCAGTTGCTCTTCCAGACAGACTGAAATGGAATGGCATTAACTCACCTCACTTGTTTAAATATGAACCAAGAGGTGGCTTTGGCCTCTTCCTCAAAAATCTTACATGTCCACATGAATTTAACCATAGACATATACAACTCCCCAAAAGTCCTTTTTAAAAACATCGACTATTCTATAACACGATAGCTTCAGAAAGCTTTCAAGGAATCAGTTAGCAACCCGGTGAGGAGGATGTCCTGTCTCTTCTACCTGGGTTCCTTGACAGATTTTTGGTGATTGCCTCAGGGTCTTGGGAGATTTGTAGAGTTTAGAGTTATAAGATGATGCGGCCACCATACTCAGAGAACTGGGTGACAAGTCCTCCAATGGGTTTTCAGAATAGATAAGAGTTCATCAAAGATTGAAGAAGCTCAAACAACAGTTCATGACAAGTGAGCCTTAAAAGCTCACAAGGAAGAAAAGAAACTTTTCAGAGTGACCTTGTCACGTGGAGTTCTGATGTGTAGGCTTTATCAGCTGCTCTGAGTGGGGGCACAGAGGCATGCATATTTTAACTGTTCATTTCATATTTAGTGTGTAACTACTGCTTTTCAACTTGAGTGAAGAAAGTATTTATCAAGCTTTATCAAGAGTCAGACAGGGGAAACCCATCAGTTAACTCCTTGCAGTGTGAAATGGAAAATGTTCTCTCTCTCTTACACTTTACTTTTTTTTGTTCAGTCCTAATAGCCCTTTATCTAAAAGGCATTAATAGTACCTGAATCAATCTGAGCCTCTCATGGGTAGAATCAGATGAATTTTGGTTTGAGACAAAACTTTCTCCACTTTCTGCTCTTGTTAACTGCGCATCGGAGTCTTTAATCCTTTAAACACAATGAGTCTTTCTTCATTTACATCTTTCATTTGGTAAACTTGAAATTTTGCAAGCACATTTTCACTGGTGTATATCCCGATTTTCAAGACTTGCTACCCACCCTAGCATGGTGCTTTGTTTTCTGTCTTGCTCCCCACACCCCACCTCCAGTATTTTAGGGCACCATATGTAGATAAGAAGTGCGATGGCTTCATTCTGTTAATTAACATGCTTATTTAAGGTTATGAAATATACATTTGAGAAAGCCAGGGATTTCCCCTTGCATATTCACTAACTGCTTGAAGTGGCATTTTCATTCTGACTTGGTATTTTGTTTTGTTTGACTGCAGCATACTGGAGCATAATGAAAGAGTCTATTTTGAGGCTTCAAAAGTAGTGCTGCTGCGGACCATGAGCGAGAGAGAGAAAGAGAAAGAGAGTGGACTCCAGCCTGCACGGATGGTCTTGAAAAGCAAATGGGTTTTGGTAAGTCATCTGAAGGACTTGGCATTTATTAGCTTTAAATTTCATCAGACATCATTTATTTGGTGTACCAGAACATCTTATTCAAGTGCACAGCGATTTCTCTACAAACCAAATGATGGGCTGTTTGTGGAAATGTTGTTCCAGGGACAGAAAGCCCAGAGAATAATCAAATCTGCTTAGTGTGCTTGTTTCTAGAACTTGCCTTTGGGGTTAGAGAAAAAACAAAAACAAACCCAAACAAACAGAAAAAACAAACCCAAACAACTAAACACACAAACAACAACGAAAGAAACGATATCTTCCAGATATTCCATTTTAGCTGGAAGCAGAAGAGATGAATCACACGAGAGGAAGTTTGTTTCCCTGTGAGGAGTTCAGTCATGCAGCACAGAACAGCGTTTTGGTCCCTGACAGATCACGTATACCACCGTGGTCCTTTAAATAATGCTGCTTTTTTACAGCACCTTGTCTGTATGTAGCTGGGTTTAGATGCACAAATGCTTACCATTGTGTTCCAGTTGCCTGCAGGATGCAGTTAAGTAACATGTCGTGGGGGTGTGTAGACAGGAGCCACACGTTATACCACCCAGCCCAGGTGAGTGGGGGGCCATCCCGTCTAGGTTTGCACGGGTACCGTCTATGACGTTCCTATGGTCATGAAATCGCCTAATGATGTGTTCCTTAGAATGCACCCCCGTCCTTAAGCAATATAAGACTATATTGGACTAGACAAAGGGGGAAACGTTGAGAGTTTCCAGGTCCTGTTCAAATGTTTATTGAGTAACTTTTAACTAAACCTGGCCACCTGAGTGACAGTCTGGTCTAGGGGTTGAAATTCAAAAACTAAAACACTGTAAATAATAAAGAGATCCAAAGTGTACACCAAAATAATGTGAACGTCAAAGATGTTTTATCTGCCTAGTTTATGATATTTCCTGGAAAAAGAATCCTCAAATGGAAGCCCAATTCTGTCCCCCATCCCCAATCTTGGTGACCTCAGAGAACTTACTCATTGTCTTAAAATGACTCACCTGGAGAAATGGGAGTACATGTCTAAAGACCTCCAAGGTCTCTTGCACGTTTAAAATTCAGTTCTCTCGAGGGAAATTAATTAAGTAGTTATACCCTTTAATTCCTTGTTTATTTATTTATATTTATTTATTTATTTGAGACAGAGTCTCAGTATGTCACCCTTGGTAGACACAGCTCATAGCAACCTCAAATCCTTGGGCTTAAGCATTTCCCTTGCCTCAGCCTCCCAAGTCACTGGGACTCCAGGCACTTGCCACAATGCCCGGCTATTTTTCTGTTGCAGTTGTCATTGTTTAGCAGGCCCGGCTGGGTTCGAACCTGCCAGCCCTGGTATATGTGGCCAGCTAACTGCTGAGCCACACCCTTTCATTCTTGCCCAGCAGAGCTTCTTGTGTGCCCTTAGCAGGTCTTCATTTTCAGAGGGACTCACTGTGTCAACTAGTGTGATGGAAAGAGACCAAGTTTCTTGGTGGAGCAGGGGGAGATCTCTTCTCCCTACTGGCATCTATCTTGAGAGCCAGCCCTTTGTTAAGCAGGATTTTTAAGTGTCTGTGGTTACTAATTTATTCCCTTGCAACATTAAAGCAAACATGGCCCAGTGTTTTAAGAAGATTATATTCAAATAAGTGAGACAGGCTTCTTTTGAATTATTACCCTTTCCTTATCTTTAGGGGATCTGACTCTTCCTCTGTGCTTGCTGCCACTGTGTTACTGGACGTCTACCAGGCCTTTAACCCCATGAGTCCTCAGACTTGGTTTTATATTGAAAAGAATTTATTTTTCTTTTTTTACTAAATATCTCTTTGCTGAAGCAGATCTGTGAACAACACTTAAAATGATGCTCAGATGTCACTCTTGTTAGCAGCTGGCTGTCTGCCTCAGAGTGGTGCATTATTTGGGTTTCATAACAGCATTTTTTTTTCTCTTACAAATGTTAAATTATGAAGTGCAGGAAACCGCATGAATGTGGCAAAAAGAAAATGCAAACACAGTGTTATCTGGAAATGCCAGTTTGATGATTCTCCTGGTGACAGTGTCCTCCCTGTACTCAACATAGGAAGCTTCTACCCCTGTTTGCTGGTGGTCTTCTAGCCCATATCTTCTTCTTCTTTTATGCTGTGTGTTGTGGTCATCTTGTCACGCCAAATCAGGAGGTTTGGTTGACAGTTGCTTGGGGCTGTCTCTATTCAAGTCCTGCTTGACCACAAAGCCTGGTTCTCATTCACCAAGTCTTCCCTGAATGCTTAAGACTTCATGAAGAGTCACTTTTTCTGACCCTTTTAACACTTAGGGCCTGCATCATACCAAACATGTTGCTATGCAGTGTTGGGTATTTCTCATCACTCAGCTGATTCGGGATAGACCACTGTTTCTCAAGGGTGGTCCCATCCCTCGACCTCCTGCATCCACATCGCCTGGATGTACTTATTAAAGTTGCAGGTGTGGCAACACCAGGAGTGATGAATCAAAATTTCTGGGGATGTAGAACCCAGGATTTTCACCTCAGGTGACTCTTTTGCACACTAAGGTTTGAGAATGAGTCTCTGAAACTGACTCTGTGTCTTCTTCTTTGCCTCACCACTCATGGCCAAAGATCCAAGACTAGTAGGTGCCTGGAAAATTTCGTTGATCTGAGGAGCGTCAAACCCTGGTTGCATTCCCTCTTCAATCGCCTGGCCTTTCAGAATGTGAAGTCAGCACATTCTCCGAACCTTTAGACACTGAGTTCTGTCTAAATGAGGAAAGTGTTCCCTAGCTCAGAGGCTCTTTGGGAAACCTTGTTTCTATATCTCTGTATGCTCCGTTACTGACTCTGTCTGTCTGTAGTAATGACAGCAGCCCCGACTAAGCCTAATATAGTGGGACCTTCAGTTCTGGGGAGCAACAGGGTGGGAGAAAGCTCTGAGGATGGGAATAGGACTGTGCTAAACTAGAGGCTTTACCCTTGGCTCCCCAAGCCCCACCCTCTGCTCGTGGCTTTATTCTGAGTGGTATTGCTTTCAGCTGTGTGGGCTTGCAGCTTGTCAGTTTTGGTGTCAAGAGAGTGGTCCCATCACTGAAACGGATTGAGTTAAGGTGCAGTGGCTGCATGTCAAAGCCCTCACAGTGGCAGATTCGGGATCTGAATCTGATGTTAACAGACTGTGGTGGTAACACTTGGCTCCCTCTTCCCCTCCTCCTCTTGTTCCAGAAAGGGCCCGCTTGGCCTTGAGTGATTCAGAAGAGATTTGTAGGGCATTGCTGCTTCTGGTGCAACGCCTAAGTGCCTTTGCTTGTGGTTCCAGCCCCAGCGAATAGATCTGACAGTTCAAGTCAGAAACCAAACTGAAAAACTCACAGAAGTTTGGCCAGCCCATAGAGGAAAAAGTAGGTCATCAGGGCATTTATTAGCTTTTACGATAACCACTACCAAATGAATTAAAAAAAATTTTTTTTGCACTTTTTTTTTCTTTTACTGTTACTTAGTCACAGTTTTACTTAGAAGTTGTGCCAATCCTAAATTCAATTTTTGTGAAAAGACATCTTCAAGCTCAGTGCCAGAGGACTGTCTTCTCCCAGGTCAACATTCAGTGTTGTTTAAAGGCATTTTGGCGAGCAAAAAGGTATAGCAGAGTGGGTTCTTCTCATAGTCTCAGCTGAGGGAAGGGAAAAAAGCATGTGTTCCCAAAGCAATGTTAAGGGCAAGTAAGGCTTTTAACACGTGCTTTATCAAACCTCAGTCGATTTTCCTCTGTAGAGTTTCTTTTGATCTCATGGGGGTAGGGTTGGGGTGAGGGCTGTTCTTATATTGCATGAGGCAAGTACCAGGTTGTCAGCTACAGAAGGGAGGGCAAGGTACAGTTGTTTGAATACATGATTTTGAGCCTTTGCTTAAAAAGCTGTCAGGTGGAGGAATAACCAGGACAAAATTACAGAAATGATAAAGTACAGGATTATAGCCAAATACCAGATGCTGGCATTTCTGTTTCAGGAATCTTTAGTGATATATACATGGAATATTTTCCTATAAGTAGCCATTCATGGTAGGAAGAGAGAAAAACTGATTCTAAAAGAGAATTTTTCTAGTTAGAAATAATGTCCTTCTATCATTCACCATGAAGGTAGACGTAAATAAGAAAAGAGGCAGTCCAGTACCCCCACTGAAGACCATCATTAGAAAGCTCTTTAAATGCTTTCCAGCTTAGAGGCGTTTGGTTCCCTTCGTGTACTTAAGCCAGTGTTCTACAAAGCAGCACTAAAAATGCCTTCTGTTAAGTCTTAGAACCCACTCTACTTGCTGATACTATCTCGGGCTAATAGTTGCGTGAGTCCTTCAGAGAAGCTGTGTGGTTTGGTATAGCTGTGAGTAAAACCACACCATTTCAGGAAATGCAATGAATTTTCTTCTTACAGGCACCCTCAAAACAGATGTTGATTTACTTGGTAGGTCCCCTTCCTTGGTGACAATTTGAGAGCTCTGAAGGGAAGTATTTGCTGTGCATCAAAAGAAATTCGAATTGCACTGCCACGTGTGTGCACTGTTGGAGTGAAAAGAGAAAGCAGCCAGCTCGAGTTTGCTACTGTGGCTCTCTCTCCCTAACGGCCTCTCCACCATCCCGGTGTCATCATCAATGCTGCACTCGTGACTTAGCATTTCTTTCTCTTTCTATTCAGATTTTAAGCTCAATTAGCTCCAACTTCCTCCCACGTGGCTCCAGTTGATATCATAGTGGTGCATCCACTTGAGTCTGAACCTAAACTTGTTGTCATCCCATCTCCCTTTATGGGCTTCTTGTTTAGAGACACAGGGTCACTGTTGACCATGCAAGGCATCTTCTGTTCATCTGTACTTCATCCCATGACCATATGCTGAGGTTTTGACTCTTAAGTATTTTACAGTCTCCCCATTCTTCTCCATTCCCAGGCCTCTGTTCTGTATCAGGTCTCCAGCAACACTTGCCCACTGCAGTTGATGTAGCTTTCAAAAG